AATGCTTGCGGCCAAATAAGTAAGATGCCGTATTTTCTTTAAAAAAAAGAAAGAAAAATCTCTAACGTTTTAACCGACTGAGGGGGTTATTTAAATGAAATTAATGGTATAGCTGTAGACGATACAACAAACATATTAGGAGCAAAAATTGTGATATAAAGATCCACATTCTCTGCTCTCTGCCTAACATTTTCGCTAAGTGCAAGTTCTATTTGTTCTAATGAATAAAAACTTTTGTGGTAAAACACGTACAAATATACTACACAAGACTATATATGTGTAATTTTGTAAATTAATTATTTAGTCTTGTAAGGATACTGTTAACTACGTCTATGGCTGGTTTTATTCCATGACGTGTTTATTAGCGGTACAATAAATCGTATGCGGGCGTTGGCGGTGCTGTGGTAAGCCGCGACAGCCGCGCGCGTGTCGCCCTGCCTCTTACAATGTTCTTCACATCCCTCCACAATATTTGATGACTTTGATTTACTTTAGGGATTTTATTTCGACATTTATACACGCTTAGGAGATTTACTAATTCAGTTTATTAATATCACATGAATATTTTTGCAATTATGGTTTGCAGTTACGGTTTATGGAAAGAAGTATAAATTTTAGTACGGAAAAATACATTTAAATTAGCCCAAAAGTTATATATGATTGGGAGCCAAATTATAAACCATCTCTAGACTAGGCTAAGCTATTATTAATGGTCTAAATGTTAATTTAAGAGAAAAACATCGCATGACAACAAAAAAAAACTAAAACGTGTACAAATTCTTATAACCTTGGTACAGATATGATAAATTAATTTATTTTTATTAAATTCCATTAGGCACTTGAAATCACACAAGTTAGGACAAGATACTCAAACAAGGTATATGAAAAGCCATCAGCGGCCGTTATCTGGTTTCGAGTCGACTGCGCGCTGTCCGGCGATCGCTCGACGCTCGTCCATCATAACGTTATTGCTACGTCGACAATATTGTTACACGGCTCTCCCTGCCGACCCAGACACACAATACGACCCTAACACTACCGCACTGGACTACAAATTATGTCAAGACTCAAGTTGTAATTTCAAAATTAAGCTTTTACTTGACTACATTATGATTGTGAAGAGGCAATATTTTGTTAACGAGTGTAACCCAGTTTTTGAAAATCTTACTTTTCAGTAATAATATAAATATATTTGGATTATGTTTGTAAGATATCTCTGGAACAGCCGCATAGATCTAGTTGAAATTTGGCAATTTTTGAATTTTAGTTTTTTTTTAATTCTGCGCGAACGGAGACGCGACGACAATTTGTGTAATATATTTTTGTACAGAAAACCTTTACAGGAAATATAAAATTTGTAATGACAATAAATATAAACCTAAATACATATTTAACAAACTGTACGGCGACTAATAAATTGGAAACAAAACGAAAATTGTTAAGACCTTAGTACTTAGAAATTTCCTTTTCTTTTTTTTATACAATCAAACTACATAACTAAATGTTACATAGCTCACGGTGGCTATAATTCCTATTGGTTATTTGCTATACTTGAATAGCTTCGATCAAGGATCGTATAGAGACGACAAGGCTACGTTCACACATACGTCAGTCGTATTTGTATCGAGCTAATCGGCTTAACCGAACTTCGACAGTCGCTTCTGTCGGCCCTTTACTGAATCGAAGGCGTTTTGAGAATTGAGATTAATTCACAGTTTGTTTGGCTATTGTGATACCAACGATTCTGTGCTTTGTGTTCGCTTTATTATTTATTTAATAAACGGCGACATCTCTTTGTTGAATGTGTTTTCAATCAATACGAGAAGGCGTTAGATGTTAGTGAATGCGGATGGTTTTTTTGGCTACATCTTACAAATACCGAAGCGTAAAGGTATTCGTGAGTAGATTGATACAAATATTGGTCCTCTAGAAGCTGATAGGTAACCTTCGTTAGTCGAATAGGCACCTCAAGAAGAAGAAGAAGAAGAAGAGATTTGAAGCATTTGTAATTAGTTTTTCAATCAGCAACTCTTGTAATTATCACCAATTTTAAGTGAAATACCTACTACTAGATATTTGTTTTAATGTAATCATAATTTTTTTTGAAGATTTTTGTGAATTATAATTTGTCTGTCCGGTACACAGTTTTGGTATTGTTTTGAAATAATTTCTTGCTCTTTGTGATCGTATGGGTTTAAAAACTAACTATACATAAAATCAAGACAGACAAGACAGTTTATTACTTCTTTTATAGCCTATTTAAGTATTTCTTGGTAGCAAATGGTCAATAATGGAAGAATTACTTGTTGTAGTTTAAAGATTTAGTCATAGTATACAATCTAGTTATTCTTAGTAAGAAATCTAGATAAATTATTATATTAGATAAGAAATTATTAAATTTCTTTATGCACACAGCAATTTTATCATTCGGTGTTGCCTTGTCTATATAACTAGGAGACTTGAATTTAATGAGTCATTCGAGTTCAGTGTGAAACAAATGATTTAAGAAATTATTCGTAGGCTTTGCAAATAAAATATGTAGTCTTATTACAAACAAAAGAATGTATTGTCCAGTTTGTCCGTAGTTAGTTGGTTGTTTTCGCTGGAGATATGTGAATGTCGTCAGAGGCGTGTGTTGCGTTCTATTTGCTAGTTAAATATTTGCCGGACCCAGGGCCGGGGTGTTATCTAATCACGTCGCCTACCGATAGCTTGCGACCCGATTACTTCGTATTTGCGCTTGTAGTGATGTTCTTCTTTACACCTGTTCCACTTTTATAGGAATACTAATACTGCTATCACTTATACGTCTATGAAAAGATGAAATTTAATTGTTTATAGTATTTTATTTATGTTCTTAGAAATTAATTTTAATTCAATTATTTTATTTCACTAATTTTATAATTGTGAATGTTTTGAATGTATTGATGGATGGATGTTTTTAGAAGGTATCTACAGCACGGCTCTATGTAGAGCATTGTCTGAAAGAACAGATAGACTACTAAATGTGTTTTATGTTCCGCGCGGACGACGTCGGGTGCGACAGCTAGTTATTTATTGTAATAATTTGACAATTCCCTTTAAAAGGTCAGAACTGTCGTTTGAAAAGTTCGGAATTAATTAATCCGATATGTTAATCGAAGTTAACTAAAACTAATAGCTTGTTCATTTTTTTTATTTGGTAAATTCAAATATTCCCCTTAAATAAAGAGAAGCAGACCACTTGCTGTATTCGATGTCTAAGTTTAATAGAGACTTTGATATTTGGACAAAACTTAAAAAAAATCTTAACCTCTATCTGTCTCTTCCACATTAGTTCATCTACGCATAGCTCATTGGTAAAGTATAATACTAACTGGTCAGTATAAATAGGATATCTAAGACTGGATTAAATGCTATTTATTGACAAAATCTATAGTAATATAATAAATATGATTAAGGCGCGGATCTCATAAAAAGCAAACGTGGTGTTGCGCGGCGGTGGGACGTTATCTCAAGGAAAGCTTTATCGGTTATCGCTGATTATTGTAAATAAATACACCCAGAGCAGGCGTGGAATATTCAATATTGTGACAGGTTATACTTTAAATAAATACCTACGCAACAATACCTTGCAATAAACTGAAGCATCGAGGAACAGTGGAAACTCTAAAAATCACGGTTACAAACTTATTAAAACGAATTTCCACTGCCGTTATACTTGAACTAAAGTAAACGTTTAATCCAACAGAATTAAAATTAATCAATAAGTTTTTGTTTACTCATGTTAGGGAAAATATCTTCTTTCCGTGCGTCCTCTCCTCCGTCGAAAGATAGGCAAAACGCATCTGCAATTGTATGCGTATGGGCAGCGGACGCTTTGCTATTACGGTGTATTCAGGTGACCACTTCCTTGTGGTGCAACCTTATGATATAAATGACATTGGAACAGTTGTTAGGCTAATTTAATTAATCGTTTATTTTAAACACAGAACAGAAACAATAATTATTTTCAATTTGTATATGAATTTAGAAGAAGCAAGATAGGTGTGTCAGGATGGCGTTAAATGGATGTCCCTGGTCTCTGCCTACTATTCTGGGTTACGGGCGTGAGTTATGTTGTTGAATAAATCGCAATGTAGACGTAGTTTCAGTGATATATAAATCTTATGAAGGTAAAATAAAATACCATCAGTAATTTTATTAATCATATAATAATTTATTTTCAAATCGGTTTATACAAATTCAATGCGTTTATTTGAAGATAGTAATTCTACAATGTTAAAATTATGACGATTTCAATAATTCGCACCAAGTACACATTTTCACACATTAATGTTCTATATTTCGGTAACTTATACCAATATTTACATAATATACACATTAAGCTACAAAATAAGTAAATTTATATAATTTCACTTTTTAATATACATAAATAATTATTGACTAAGTTGGTATATTCGACTATAATACTGAATCTTATATCTAAATATTGCATTCTGATAAAATCTGGTCAATTTCTCATAATATAAGACAATATTAACTAATAAATTTTGTTAGCTTTTTACATTAATATACAAAACTAGTTTAATTGGAATGTATAAGTATTTACGATTTTACACTACATAGATTTATTACCTTTTATATAGTTTCAGAAATCGACACTAGATGGCGGTAAAATTACCATTAAAATTCTAATTGTTTATTTTTAAGACAATATCATCATCTCTTTCATGATCTTTGATGAAACAGAGATAACAATATTTTTATTGAAGGATCAAAATCCTCAGAAACCAACAATTTGTGCGGAAATTAATCATTATTATGAAACCGAAATGTTTCTCCAATTAATTCAATGTACAATCAGCATAACTTTAATATTATAAAAATAGCAATATTTCAGTAATTCTAACTAAAAAAGAAAGAAAGAACTATTTTTAAAAAGAATGTCATTTGAAAACATTACGTTCTTCAAATAGGATATTAACGCAATTACATATTATTAAATAGGAACTCTATACACCTTGAACATCTCAAATTAAATAAATAAATACTAATACTTTCATTTTCCTTATTATTCGAGGTAACTCATAATGAATCTGATTATAAAACTACGTTTTTATTTCGAAATTAATGGCTTTTAATAATTAAAACGGGTGTTTTGGGGTCTAATACTTTGAATTAACTAACTCAGGATTATTTGTAACAAATGTAAACAATCAAAGAAATTAACCATACCCCATAACTTACTAATTTTACTTATTAGGCCCATAACATCTAAATTTGTCTCCGTCTAACTAGATGGATAATACCGAAGTAACAATAAGGTTAAGAAGGCTATTTAAACAAAAAGCAATAACGCTATCCCATAATCAAAGCGACATTACTCAATGTAACGACTAGGAAATCACTGGTTGATTGTTTGATCACCACCAACAACCGCTCGGTTGAGAGCCGTGGCCGACGGACGGCTGGTGGTGCATCGGCTGGTATGGTGGCAGCGACATACCCAGAGGAGGAAGACCATCCGGCTTCCCAATACAAGGCCGACCGTCTTTTACAAGGACGGGTACCGCTACACGGCGAGGAGAATTTAAACTGCCGACGTTCAAATCGTGAGCTCCTTTTTCCTGCACCGCACGTTTCGTCTTGTACCTGTGGTTCTGGAACCAGATCTTGACCTGTGTCGGTGTTAGACGAATCAGACTCGCCAGGTGTTCCCGTTCGGGAGCGGACAGGTATCTCTGTTGACGGAACCGTCTTTCCAACTCATAAGTCTGCGCTTTGGAGAAGAGAACGCGTCGCTTGCGCTTCTTGTGTGCGAGGCTGGGGTCACTAGTGTTGGCTGGCTGGTCATGGTCCTCATCGTCGTGGTCTATGTCGTCGTGGTCCTGGTCTTGGTCTTGGTCGTGGCGGGGATCGGTAATGGTAGGCGAGGAGGCTGATGCGCCCACATAGGATAACTCGGAAGCGCGGGACGTGCTGTCCGGACTCGCTTGTTGACCAATTCCACCTATGAATAAAATAAACTCGTTAGATTTCTAACAACATGCCTTTCGGTATATTAAAAGTAAAATTAAATTTTAACAATATTAATATGTAAAGTGTAAATAAGTGTGAATTTTTTGATTTAAGCTTTGTACTACAGGCATATTTAAAAAGATACTCGTACAGGACGATAACTATTATTTATTTTTAAAAAAGTGAGTTAAAATTTGTAGATTTAATCCAAATGCGTACGTAGGACATCATAGATAAACTAAACATATCAAATATGGGCGTAATGGAGACCTGAAATAAGGCTCAATTAATTGACATAGTGGTAAGAATTGCTACAAAAGCAATCATTGGCCACTACATGCTAAAACGGTTGTAGTACAAAACACTCGTTCCTTAATCTCCTCATAATCTGGTAGGGATGTGCTCTATTTAACTCCAACTACATCGGGATATAAACGAACAAATAATGGGACGTGAAAAAATCACAGCAAATATAGCATTGTTCGAAGCTCACCCCTCGCGGATTCAATGATTTCACACGGCTGTGATAATGCAGAATGGAGGGGGTTGTGTTATACAGGGTTGAGGGGTTGGGCGCGGGTTGGGCGTGGTGCAGGGGGTTGAAGGGGATTATGCGGGGTCGGGGGGTAGAACCACACCCAGCGCCCGGCAGCTGGGAGCTCGTTTTGTTCCTCTATTGTACGGTTTAGGTCAATAAGCGCATCGAGAAAGATACTGTTAGACAACGGTATTCTATTTTAATAAGGACTTTTTAAATATAATAATGATTTGAGATACCTATTCGGATTGGGGAAAGTGGAGAATTATTGTCGGACGACAAGGCTCAATTCGGGTCGCTGCGTCACCCAAATAAGGGAAATTCTTATTCATTGATATTGCTAAAAAAACCTGTATAGACGTAAAATACTTTGCAAAATATTTTTCTTACGTGTAAATAGGTTTCAAAATTCTAAATGTAGTATAGATACAAGTGCAAGTAATTATTGCTCTAAACAGCTGGGTGCATTAATGTGGTTGTTGTAACAACTGACAGCGGTACAACGCACGCGAACTTAGCGGTTTCCTTGGTGTTCGCGAATTGAAATCAGTCATTAGTCAATTAACTATCATTCACAACTGATTGTTTAACATTACATTCAGAAAATGAAACTAGACCGATATCACATGAAAAAGAAGCGAGTGTTTCGTTGAAGAAATCTTGCAAGATATTTTTTAGTTTTGACTGTCGACAGTCTAGTATGAAAACATTGTAACTGCTCTCATTCTATTAAAAAAAAACAAAGACGATACGTTTCAATATAAGTATCACGGCAAATATATTTTCACGAGTCTGGCAACGTTTTATTTCAAAAGTTTTTATTTTGTCACATCTGCTAATTATTTGGATATGAACGTCAGTTAATTGCATTTTATTTTGTAAAAAATAGAACGTTTCCTTGTACGAAAGAATTAGAAATGGTCATTTATAAGTCATTAAACTATAAATCTCAGGCAATTCGATACATCGTTAGTACATAATGTACAGTAAAATCTATAACTGTCATTGAATAATGAACGAATTGCATCCCTAACAGCCGCAAACAGTGTGTAATTGATAGCCGACAGCTGCTTGCTAACGGAGGGCATGAGCACAGTCTATTGGCGACAAATTCGTTTCGCGTCGCACCCCACACACAAACAATCGTAGCTCTGGTAGCCCCCTAGCAGCGAGGGCGTGAACCATTCATTGAATACCCCGGACATAGTTCAACATTTGAAGACAATTTATAGTCAATTGTCGTGTTTTAATTAGGGTACCTCGTGAGAATACGGAACCTTAAATTAGAGATATATTTGCAATTTAGACTGGAAAATATGTAGCAACTAAACTAACTTTAAAATACAAGAAGGTATTTAATGATCGAATAATTTTAACGGTAAGTATAGCAAAAACGTCCATAGTAGATAACCAAGCAATCTAATTTAAATGAGAATTAGCATTCTTATTTATGGTCTAACGGTTAACAAGAAATAATACTATAAAAATAAAATTTTGATTCACAATTTTTTTAAATCGTTATCGCGAAGAAGTGCTAACAAGCAATTGAAAGTGCGTCCGCAATGAGTGCCCAAATGTTTGATAAAAGCGATAAAAATAATTAATGACAACAACAGATTAGCGGGTGAAGGCACTCGAATGGAGGAGCATTTCAAAAAATAATCTCGGCCTCTCGAACACGACTACCGAAACGCTATTAGTTTCGAGTGGGTCACCGCGAACGTTTCTGTGATTTTGCTTACCGAGAATTCGCACTACGATTTGATGAAACTTTAATATAAAACAAGTTGCAATCACTATTATTTTGCACAGAGAGTGATAACAAGTTTTATGTAAACGTTTTTAGCTGAGGGAATAGAATATAGAATTTCTATCGAAAATTTTAGAATTGTGCCAATTTTTATTTGGAATGTTTTCATTAGTTAACTAGCAAAGTTTAAAAACCTACTTATCTTTAAAATCGCTATAAGTACCTGTCTAATAAAAGAATACCTAATCCTCGATGTGGTGTTAATATTGAGTTTCAAATAAATCTATTTTCTTTTCTGACCAAAAATTTTTCAATATGTTTTCATTAACGTTTTCGATTAACAATAAGTTTCGTAAAAAACCTATTTTATTGTTACACTATAAAGCATATAAGAAAGGTAAACCAGCTATGAATCGGTTCATAAATTTAGGTCACAAAGACAGAATTATTAAGTTGCAGATAACGGCTCATCGAAATGTACTATAGTTATTAAAGCCGCAGAGCCGCGGGCTAATTGGTAACTTGCACTTCGCAGCTTGAAACGCAAATCATAACGTTATGCAAGTACAAATTAATCGAGCTGCAACAGTTCACTGATTTGTTTAACGAAGTGGCTCCCAAACTTATTTTGTCTACTGCCCTGCCCACTTTGGGAATAAATATTTTTTTAGCGCCCCCATATTTTCACAAATTTAAAAACCACTATAACTTCAAAATAATTAATTAATTAATGTGACCTATATATGTATATTAACGGAGAATTCTAAACGAAACTTTTACTATAACCCACAACTCGAGACCTGCATCGCCCACTTTGGGAAAGACTGGTTTAACACATAAGAGCCGTGTACTGAATAGGGTCATCAATATGATTTGAGTTACTCATGTCTGATTCTAAACGTATACATGATTAAATTGTCTTTCAATGAACGTGTTATTTTCGAGATGAAATAACATTAACGATATAAATGTTAACTAAGATAACATGATCAGTAGGCAACATGTGTTATCGGATAAAATTGACATTTCATATGAACGAGTTTAACCGAACTTGTCTTACGGTGCGGCAAGATAACAGTATCAACAGTTTAGATAAACCTGTGCTGAATATCTTCAACCAAGATAAACTGTGTAGCAATACATAACACATTTGACAAGTTTTTCTAAATCCGAGCGTTAATATATAATTATCAATATTGAAATACAGTAAAAACCGCTTAAAACTAAAACTAAATCGCCCCATCCGATGAAAAAAGTTACGTATCTTAAGAGATATAACTCGTTTCCACTAATGATTAGATATAAAAAGGTAATCGGTGAAAATGTTGCCAGTTCCTTCGATCTAGTTACCTACTTATACTTGGTTCTAAATGTATGTTAAAGAACTTACCGGTAGGTTCATGTTGGTCTAAAGAAAGCCAGGGTTGATGATGTCTGAGTAAATCGTGTGAGTAATGATGCTGCGGCGGAGCGTAGGGCGGGAGTTCCAGACCGCAGCCGAGCCCCGTCGGCGCTGGGGCAGTCTCCAGGCCTTTCGCTTCGTTCAGGCCAAGGATATCAGAAATTTGGAACCCCGGTCGTTGGCCTGGCATCTTCATACTATCTAAAAGCCTGTAACAATTTTTTTTGATTATGATTTGCTTGTTGAGACGTAAACGGAAACAAACAAAGATATTAAAAGTAAATTACAGTCTCGTAAGATATTTAATTTATGTTGTAGTCGGTGCGCCACTGAAATTCAATACGCAATTGTAGCCGATTTTAATTTGTTAAAAAATACCTATAATGTAAGATATATTTTCATCGTGGAAAGTTTTTATTCATATCCGGTCTGATTTAAAGGAATTCAACCAAAGTTTTAAAATTAATAATCATATTATTAAATATGTAATATAATAATAAATAAAAAAATGTTATTAAAATGTTCAAAATTTTATTACCTCAAAACTTAACATAAACAAAAGATTTCAACGCGATGCTACGACTCTATGTCGATGTAAGATTTTTATGTTAATTTATCAAAAAAAAACAAAATCAATCCATGTATAATCCGCATCAGAATGATATAAGTTAAGTACATTTTTCCATATTCACGACACCTTTATAAATTAAAACCCGTAAGTGAAGTTGCCCTATAACATTCGAACATTTTGTGTTTCATATTAAAAACATAATAGCTTTACCTACGCTCTTATAAAAGATTGTTACCACAAGAATTAACACTAACAATATGTTAACATTACAAATCCGTCTCAAGGGGCTGTATAATTTAAAGAAAACACAAAATTCCATCAAGGAGAGCTCTCGAGAATACGTGACTACTATAATAGCGCGGTTGGAGTTACAAAGCCTGCTTAAGCCGATCTGTCTATTAAAATATACATGATATAACACCTTAGCGTGAAACGTCTCATACTGTGCCGTACGTGACGTTATGAAAGAGCGGCGAAGCAAAGGCGGCAGGTTGTAAACATGACGATTAACAAGCTCTCACTAAAAAAGCAAGGGAACTGTCCCATAGCAATGATGGATCAGCGACTAACCATTCGATTTTCTATTTGAAGACATACCAGAATAGGAGTCATGATTATTCGCATCACAATTTGATCTTAAATTGTTTCTTCTATATATCAATGTTATTTTTGTACTAATTATCATACATTCCTAAACGTTCGCTGCTCAAGATTGTAACTAAAACTTGCAACTGAAAAACAACACACGATGGTCATACAATTCACGATCAATTTTTTTTTAATGGTAGTAGATAATGTAACGTATCTGTATGGTGTAAAACGAGCAACGGATGGCCTATTTACTATCTTAGTAATATTATAATATAAATGCGAAAGTTTGGAGTTTTGTTAGTAGGTATCTCTAGAAAGGCTCAACGGACCTCGCTGTAGTTAGGCATAGATGAAAAACATAGTCTAGAAAATCACATAGGCTATTAAGTTTTTTAACTCCGTCTGAACGGAGTCGCTTTAAAAGGCTATATTGATATAAGCCAGCAATTCAACTTATTAAAAAATATTATGCCAATGGTCAAACAGTGGTTTATTTACGTATGCACCATAGATTTATCATTTCTATCTAATTACGCGAACGACCGATTGAAAAAATTAAAATCTTTTTCTGTAAGTGTACCCGATGTTAGTCGGCCACTCTGATACGAAAACAAACAATATTTCATAAATAACTCTCCAATATCAACAGCCAACGTGATTGTTTATATTCCTTAACTGCGGTTATCTTTACACTAAAAAGTTTTGGAAAGTTTTTAATACTTTGCTGAATAATTTTTTTACAACATAACCAAGTTTGAGAACAGAAAATGATTGAACTTATATATAATTAAGGGCCCCCGATGGGCTCGAAACTAGTCGGTGCCGCCACAGTACGAATATACGTGAGTGTTTAGCCGTTTTTATATCAGTTTATTATAATGTCTCTCGAAAGTATGAATAATTTAATAGAAAATGATTGCCTATATGTAAATTATGCAATAATATTAAAATTAGAAAATTCTGTTAACATTTTATAGTTGTAGACAAAAAGATGTAATCATCAAATCCGTTGTTATCACTAAAGATTTTTATTGATACTTTTATGTAAAGTGCCATCGAAAATTCATCGCACGTGTGTAGACGCCTTTATCGTGAGGTAACATAAACACACTCAATGTTCGTTGAGTGTTGTGTTTATAAAAACCCAAACATCGCACTCGAGTGCTTAGGAAAATGCATTTTCTTAATGTTTTATTTGATACACCTGACGAAAATTACTCTAACACTATTATTATTGACTAAACTTCATTTTTAGCTTAGACACATGAATCGAAATTAAAAAATATATATGTTTATTGAATACAAATTAAATATCATTAGAATGAAATCTAGAAAGTTGCTACAGTCATGATAAATTTCATTCATAATCTCTTCTGTCACTCAAACTAAGGTAGATTGGCTATAATTAGAAGCGCGATTTTTTTAAGAATTTTTACGGAATTTATAAAATTAAATTAAATCCTTATATGTGTGATATATAAAGAGAAATATAAAAAGCTTCATAATTTTTAATCGATCATTGACTAAACAACATACCAAGTTTCATAAACTTAGAAGAATAAGTAAGTGTATCGTCATATTGAGGCTTAATAATGAATCGTCACTTCATAGAATGAAAAAAAAAATATATCGCTCTAATATTTTCAATCACACGACAAATTATAATTATCACTGACCTACCTATCGACTTTATATACAGAAGGCATACTAAATAGTACGAGTATATCACTTATTCACTTTTAACTTATCTCACCCGGGGAAAGCGGACCTAAAGGCCGCCGGGTAGAGCGCCGGTAGGAAGGCCGGGCCCCACGGCGGCAGCAGCAGCGGGCTCCACAGCAGGCCCGCCGGCGCCAGCAGCGGTGGCGCTCGGCTTTCGCCATCGCCCTCTGCGCTCCTCATCTCCCGTAAGGGAGAACTCGCCTTCGGAATAATCTTGACTGCTGACAACACTCGCGGGGACACGTGCTACGTCTCGCGACGTCGCCTCCGCACTAAACAACCCTCGAGTGGCCCTCGGGGTGAACAACACCCCGCCCGCCCTCGCCTCGACAGCCCACTCAGGCACGAGGGTGCTCCACTGACCTCCGCCAATCCGGGACCCGCGCCGGCTGGGCGGACCCAGGCGCGTCCAATCCGCGCTCGCTCCCGACACAAAAAAACTGGAGTATACACTCTGAATAGAGAAGCTTTCGACGCAGCGCGTTTGTTATGCCGCTTTTTGTAATGAGTGCGCGCGTTAAGCCCATTGTTGAGGCCCGGTCCGTTATGGACGCCGAGCCAAATGCCCGGATAACGATTTTCATTTAGAGTGTTTTTAATAAGTCCATGTAAGCTCGTATTTGTCGTGTACTTCTACGTTTGTATCAATTCAATCTGTCGATATATTCATAGCGAGAAAAGTCCCTAATCATTACTTAGGCGCTTTAAGCAATATAAATGATTCAACGAAAGAATGAAACACTTTGGAATATTATCTTAAAATATTTTTATAAAATAAAGCAAAAAATTCAAGAAGAATAAAATTGTTGTCTTCCATCTTATTTTATAACAATAATGAAAACTGTAAGAAGAATATTTTCCATAAAACATTGAATATAGTTATTGAAGAGATACTTCTCTTTGCACGTAGCGTTTACAATGCAGGTATTTAAACAATAACAAGTCAAAGCACGTTAATCAACAAGAACTTTGGCACATATGGAAGTACTTAAGGCACCGTAGACATCAGACAATGGTAATGAGGGTAGTTCCATGAACAGGTACAAAATACTATAAGTTTATGAGTTGCACGTGTGCGCACCGCATTGTCTCTATTGTATAGAGAGCAACAACATTTGTTTTTACTTAACGAAGTCTCCACAACTTTATAAAGATCTTGAAGACATAGTCTTAAAGACTTTATAGACTTTCCTGGCTTTACGTCTCTGCATTCAAGAGCATACAGGAATATTTCTTTGAGAAATTGTCTGTTTTTATTTAAAAATTAATCCCTATTGCCCTTGATTGAAGCTCTATCGCGCATAAACCGCTGCACCGATTTGGCAAATTATTTTTTTCTGTCTGTTATTCTGAAGATTATAAAAAAAATATGAAATTAGGATCTCGATTAAATGTGGCATAGATGTAGATCATAGTCTAGAAGACTACTTATTAAGTTTATTTTTTAATTTCGCGAAGTCGCAGGCAAAAGCTAGTATTAAGATGTTATTCCCGGCACAAGTAATTTTGTATTAGGATGTAGATTAATTAAATAATTAAAAAGCGACAAAACTTAAACGTATCTAATTACTAAAAATTACCATTAGTTACTTTCAAATAATGATTAAGGCACAGATGGTATAAAACTTGTAATCAGGTTAAAAACCATAATAAATTTCATTCGTAATCTTAATAATTAATAGAGAATGTAATTTAAAATCATTGAAACAATAATCGGATTAGTTTTACAACTTGCAGGTGTGCAACAGGATTACGTTAGGATACGCGAGCGCCATCTGGCGAGTTCTTATTGTAAGACAAAAGCCTCTTCATACAAACAATCAAACACTTAACAGATGGTCACTTTAACACAAAACTTACGACAAAAAATATCAGTTATAAATTAATTAATAATAATTTTGCAAAGTTTCTAGATTTTTTTGTTGTCGTCTAAATCTACTATATTTTTTTTTACTAAATACGAAAAAATCGAAGACAATTACAAATACACTATTTTATTTAATTCAACAAAAACAATGATAATTGTAGTTTGTTGATTAATTCTGGGTCAATGATTCACACCGCGCTTTAAAAGTATAAAAAATATAGCACTATATTTTGGAGCAAAGAAAAGGGCTTGTAAAGCGCTGTGGGCGCATCAAAGGGCAACAATAACAAAGGGCAATTACATCGGGAACCATCCCCTAAGTGGCGTGCAGCGGGCTACGTGAATCGTTTAATTGACTTATTGAGAATGAGTTTTTAAAATATCTGTTTGAAACCATCGCTCTGCACACCCGTTTAATTTACAGTGCACCTCAACTTTTACGATAAATCGTCTCGAATTTTCTCTTGTTATCTTTACCCATTCATATAAATAGTAAAGATTTCAATTCTTGTTTCTGTTAAGCCTAAAATTACTTGATTAAGTACTGATAATCTTATAAAGTGCAAACTAGTTCAATAGTTTTTACCAGCAAGCAATCCAGTCGACTTGTATAAGGTACTCCGGTAAAACCTAATTACATTTATTTCGTGTTCCCATCTTAAAGAGCCTACATGAAGCCAATATGAACAAGCCACTCGGTTATCAAATATTTCGAAAGGCAATAAATATAAACGGATAGTCTTTATAATAACAAAATCATTAAAAGAACTTACTTCATTTAAAAAGGCATTCATTAAAATTACAAACGTGTCTTATCTGCGATTTTAGTTTGTACTATGTATCGGTAAGGTGCGATTGCGAGGGCCAGATTTGTGAGGGTCGGGGGCAGGTGCGCGCGCCCTCTGCCGCCTCACTGTATCACTCAATACGCGACCTCCCAGCACCCAACTCTACCCTACCACCATAGATTTATTGCCTTCATCGGGAAGCGTTCGTTAGCGATCATCAATATCTGTCTACTACACTTATTGACACAGATTTACGTTGTAAAGTCCTATATAAAAACCTTTATTGGAATAAAACAATGACAATTTACAGATCAATGTTAGACTCATTTAGCACCTTCTCATCTCATTTCTGTCATGCATCCAGTCCCAATAATAAATCGTAGCATATTCGAAGTTTAAAATATCTGTTCTTGTTGCTCTGTCATTTTCGTACCAAAACTGTAATCGCATAGGACAAGATGTTATGCAATAGAAAGAAGTATTCGTCTAATTTTACTTAGTCCTATAACATCGTTAAAGTAAATCAAAATGACTTGGAAAATCCTTGAATATGACGCAAATAAAATCACTCAATATTATAATGTAATAAGCAAATGAATACAAACAATTTATAAAGCCTATCATTAGGCGCCAACTATAAAACAGTCGTTTCGTATTAGCAATAGCTAATGATAAAATAATAGAGGGATGATTTTAGGCACGATAGAAAAGTAATTTACATAAAACTTGAATACACAAATACTCCGAGCGCTTCGTACCAAGCGCCGATGCCCGCGAGAAAAAAAATACCCCATGGCCAAATGTACTCATTGCTATAACTTCGGCTTCATTGTACACGATAGACAACTTTTTGCATAACCGTAATGAAAGCCAGTCTTGTCTTTAAATTAAGCTAAAATATCAAAGTCGACTAAAAGTCACTTAGATTATACGCTTCTTAAATCCTCATTAACCTACACACAGAAAAACCTCCGTCAGTCAACGCTTTACTAAAATAAAATTTACGTCTAACTTACTAGATTGAGAAAAGTTTGTACATTTTCATCGGGCGTAGAGAGTAAAAGTCAATGGGTTTTCACGGTATATTTCGTTACGGCAATCTGGTTAGGCGCATTCACCGTAAATGGTCGGTGGCACGCGAATCCGCGAAGAGGGTTTCCAAACCAATTAAGGGCTCGAAGGCACGGGAAGGCTTGGGAAGGCGCAGCTGACGGATTACGAGCTCGATGGTACTCGGCGACTGGCGGCCGGGCTATAGGTGTGGGACACGCGAACGTAACCAACCGACCGACTCGACTCGTCATGTCGTATGGTGCAAGTGCAACTTAATCTTGTTAGATTTAAATGTTTATTATTATCATATTATATACAAAAATAAAGATATCCATGTTGAGAATACACGACGAGATGGAAGAGGAATAAGTCGTATCTTAGATGAAATTTTGAAATACGATATTATTATTATTTTTAAAGAAAACAGCAACGTTGTGATTATGCACTAGAGTTCACTTTTTCTTAACTCTAAATTGTTTTTGTCAAATGTATAATAAGATTGATTACTATGAAGTTAAAAAAAAAACTCAATTAATAGCTTATTCTTTAATTAATATTCAAAATGTATCCCTGATGTTAAAATCAAATTAACCTGTCTAGTGAAATTTGTTCGTAATGAAATACATGAAATTCTGATCACTTTACATGCGCAAAATATTATCGATTCTCTTGTTTAACGTTCTAGAAGTTGTACCGATTTTAACTTGAATCTTTTGCGCAGCAATAAGAAGATTGCAGTAAAAATAAATGGTTGGCTCGTAAAAGACTACATGCAGTCAATTTCAGTGCACTCAGACTGAGTTTCTGGCTAGACGGTTTTAAGTTTTACCTGAAGAAGCGAGCGGTCGCGGCACGCCATGACGTATGCAAACTTTTTATTACGTTATCCATTTGTTTATTACGTTGAATTTTATGACGGTAAGAAATATTTATTGCAAAAAGTCTACTTTGGAGTAATGCCGAACATCATCAGAAAAATAATATAGGGTGTGTTTTTTAAGGTGCTTTTTCCTTACGTCTTGTATATTTAAGATATATATTTAGTAAAATTTCCATTATTTAAAATTAAGTGATTAAACATTGTGGTGTTATACTTTTTTGTTATTTTCACGAACATTTATACAGTTTAAAATATATAGCATTTGTAATGGAAAGTTTTTGGTATAAAATTACGTTAAATAACGTAACTACAGTAATAGCAACCTTAATTATTATGCAATAAACTATATCTTGCTTCAAGCAAAATCGACGGGAATAGCGGAATAAGCAAATCGTTTATCCAGCTTACGTCTAATAAATTATTCGGATCAATTAATAGTATATGAAAATAGAATATTGACTTTTACTACCTTAATTAAAAAACAAATAGATATTAGGTGCAAAAAGACAAAGATTAAAGAAATGTATAATATTAAGTTTGTAATTATAAATTAGGTAATAATTCAAGAATTTCATTGATTATAATCAACGAAGTTCTTGAATAATTATTCATATAACATTACTTGAGACATTTTTATCACCTTAATCAGCGGATTCTAGATCAAATAATCGTTTATGTACAAACCCCATAATTATAGAAATCTAGATAAAGTTAGGCCATTAAGAACGTCATATATCTTATACTTATATTTAGGTAGTAAAACAGGCTAAAAACAGTGTAAATTTATCAAAATTCTCTCTCTTAAACGCGTAACAGATTAGATCTTGGTATGACTTGACAGATTTGAAACAGAGAGACAATTCTCAAGTGTAATTTGTTTTCAATACTTACGCATAAGTACCGTATCTGTAGTCCTCTTCTGGTTGCCGGTATTGGCAGCTGGGATCTAACCCGGCGCTGTAGTCCGGCGGCGCGACCGGCCAACTGTTCTCATAATTGTAATAGTCACCATAACCCATTTCGTTCTCGCCCATCATTTTCATCATACACTAAACGAATGCTTAAATAAATCACACACTAATAAAGTCAATTATGATCGATTACTGATTGCCATTTGATAACCGTTGAGTAGAATCACCGATAAGGTGTTTAATTTTCGTTGCAAGCAGTCGCCCGGAGACCGCAATAGTATCGACTGATCGATGCCTCACCGGCTATTATCAATAAAATCGTATCCTTATCATATCTAACAGCTTTCCCCTGTGATATGGGGACTTTTATAAACGCGGCGACGATTCTAATATTGTGCAGCAAATTGCTATCAAATGTGGATAGAGTCAAACGTGCCATTGTCAGCCAGCAAGCGTGCGTCATGAAATCCAAGAAGACAGGTTCAGATCTAGGAAGTACTGATAAACTTTAATATGATAAAACTAACGGAATAGTATAAATTTTATGTATAAATTATAGCTGTTTTTAAAAGTTTTTGAATTTTTTTTTGGTCAGAAGATGTGGATTGCTGAGAAAAATGGGGACAAAATGAATGTCTTAAAATACCACCAGTAACTTAAATTATGTTTTAGTTAATTATAACATTAGGTATAATACAAAATATACTTGAATTACTCTAAATTAATCGTATAACGTCTTTATTCTTTAAGTAAATTAGAAACATAATAAAAAGTGGACGCGATGATTACCTCTGGTGGGACTCGAACCCACAATCCTCGGCTTAGGAGGCCGATGCCTTATCCATTGGGCCACAGAGGCGGCGGCAGAGCGTCGCCGTTGTGGGCATACGTTGTGGTGTGGTTGCGTCACCGCGCGTCATGACCGAGCAGACTTAACGCACATATAAATTAAATGTTTAATTATAACCTACTTATTACATTAATGTTGTTTACGTACATACAAACCACAAGTTCGAGAAAATTCTTGAGTTTGTTACTAATCTACATAAAAAGGTATACAGGAAAAAGCTCATACGCAACTTATTTCCGTTATTAAATCAATGTTGCCAGCCTATGTCCAGATTAACATAATTAAGTCATGACCGCGTGAAGACTACAGGGTACTATGGAGTACGGAAGAATACGCTCCTTCTTTAACCCAATTTACAGCCGACTTTAAAAAGATGGAGGTTATGTAATCGTCTGTATTTTTGTTTAATTTTTTTTTATAATATGACTAATTTTGGACGTAGGGGCCCAAGAGTATTTTATTACTCATGTTCCTAGAGGAACCTAATAGTGGGGTAGATGAATCAACAGTCCGCCATCTCGCTCTATTTTGGGCACTGCGGTTGATCTCGGGTCACGATAATTTTATATTTTCACAATATTTATAAAACAGACCATGATAGAAAATAAGTATATGATAAACTCTGACGCCTGTTGTTATATTATCAATTAATTATTATCTTTGATACTTTTGACGCTGAAGATAAATTTGATAGGTGTTAATTAAATAGTTTCATATCCACGGACAATATTATTCGTAACAATAATATTCGTATACACAAAGACATATTTTATTTATAGAAAACCTCGGCCTAATTCCGAAGAACGTAGTAATGTCTTGTGATTTATTTTTAAAGTGTTAAAAATGACAATGTTTCGTTGGATTTTATTATTTAACCTCAATTACCTATTTATATAATAATAAAAATCATCTATATACTTATACTCGTATTTATACTTTTATCTATGTCAGGGATGGTGAACCTGTGGCCCGCGAGATATTTTGGGCATGTCACAGATTACATTCATTATGCAGTAAGAAAGAGTAAAGTAGGTATTAACGCTACAGGATGTTCTCAAAAATTAAAAAGATAAAATTATTTGATGCTACGTACGATAATTTCTTTAGTGAAATAGCACTTTGATATATAAAGGTTCACCATTCCTAATCTAAGCTATAAACCTTTAAATGTATTACAATAAAACAACATTTTCAAAGATATTTTATTTCAATCCAATAAATATATTAAAAACAATTAATAATACAATAGAATACACAAAAAAGATACATTTCTTACATATACTTGCTAATTCTAAATATACATACAGATGTCACCGAACATTTGTGAATACCGTTTATTTGTAATTTACCTTGTTTCGGCAAATTGCATAACGAATTAATTCTCAAAGTGGCGTATGTGAAACTGTAAATACTCGTGTCACATTGTTGACCGTCAGTTTGAGAATGCATTCGATACTGATTTTAGGTCACAATTTGTCTAGAAAAATTACAAACTGACGAGATTCACGATCTTTCGGTGACTTAGATAAATACAGCTACTGGAATGTTACTGCCTGTCTCGACTGCATGAAAAGTGTACGATATCTCCATTAGGATAGCGAACAAACGCGCTCTGGTTGCCGAACCTCTTCTTACAAACAGGACACACATTGTAGTCATGTATCACAATGCTCTTTGACTCGTGATAATGTTTTACTTCTTTCACCTAGAACATATAAATATGTCATTCATTTTAACACAAGCAAAAAAATTGTACAATTTATTTGCTCGATTTTTCCTCTAGGCGTTTGAAGAAAATTAAATCATCAAAAACAAAGTTTCTTAATGCAATAATGCAGTACAGACATGAAACTGCTAATAACACATGAGTTTTGTTAGAAGTTAGTATACCTAAATTTAATAATGAACGGATAAAAATAGATAAATTTTGTTTTCAGATTTCTTAAGTTAAATTTTTTAGGAAACTTAATTACAAACACAACAAAGTGGATATTCTATACAAAATAAATACCTGAAGATGTTCAGCATACAAGAGTCCTTTGAGGACTTGCATTTTTCTCTTCTCAGTCAAGTGTCTCTCCAGCGCGCTCTCCAGAAAATGCTTCAAGCGGACCAACGGCACTGAGTTTGGCAACACTGATAGCGCCTGCAACAATATTACATATACATTCCAATTTTAATACGTGATAGGGAAATTATAAAAAAAAACGCTAGACGAATATTTTTCGACCGGTGTAATACCCCGACCACACAGTAGACACGCCTCAACTTCCATATATATAATATTAGTAAGATAAGATTAAGATGGATGAATGGATGTCGCTGACATTCGGCATAGTAGAACATAGTGTGGAACACATAGGTTACTTTTACTTTAATTCTACACGAATGGAGTTGGGGACAATAGCTTGTATATTGTATATATAAAAAATGAGCGACCTTTACAGGTGATATCTGATCAGCATGTTTCTCCAGTATAGCGAGAGCCGTCTCGAGGTCGGGCACGGTGGAGTTGGGGTGTCGCGGCACGTTGGCCAGCGGGCCGGCCAGCGCGCCGCCCTGCTCCGGGTTCATCAGGATCCTCATCAGTATCACGTACACGTCCACGCCCTTGCTGCTCGAACTCGCGCTCACTTGCTCGCAGTAACGTATCGCTCTTTCCACCTCACCTGGAATTTATTCATCTACATTAAAAATATAATATTACTAGCGGTCACCCGCTTCGTAGACGCATAATTTAAAAAAGCAAAAGTCTTCAAGTGAAAATCCCGTCAAAGTCAGTACAGCGATTGCCCGGAACTAACTCGGATTTCGGACAGAAATACAGACAGCCCAAAATTTAAAAAATTGGTTTTTCATATTTTTTTTATTTCCATATTACAGACACAACAATTTTATTATTTGTATAGATACATAAAAAGAAAAAAATAGAAAATTTCAATCATTATTCTATTTTATCTCTTTTTTTTAATTCCTAATTTGACAGATGCATCGTTATGTAATTACTCACCTAAGATTTGTACATATATAGCGAGCGCCTGTTCATGTCTTCCCAACTTGCCCAATATGACCGCCCGCTCTTCAAACAAACAATCATTAGGGAACGGCAATATCACTCTTTCAGGCGTATAATGCGAAGACTTTTCTAGAAAAGCCAATAACTTAGCTTTGATATGTTTAACTTCCTCATCCGTCGTACCTCCGGTTTTGTTCTTATGTTCCAATATTTTATCTCTATACATACTGATTAGTGCATCATGGAACAAAGGATTAGTTTCATTCCATGTATGTATAACATGTTCTAGATACGGTATGACTAAAGTCTTATGTTCGCGTAATAGAAAATCTAGAACTTTCGGTCTCGACAAGTTTTCAACTTCGGCAATATCCTCGGTGAATATCTTCAATCCTTCTTCAGGATGCTCTTGTAGTATCCAATCGGAGAATTTGAATATTAAATTTATATGTTCGGAACCTAAGAAATTCACATTAATAATTATATTTTATAGTATTAGTTTGATCTAGCCACAAAGATAGTAAAACTTTCGTAAGGCATTATATGTTTATTACAGGACCCTGACGAGTCTGAAGCCGGCACCGACATTGTGTTAACTAGAGGTGAGTCGTTTAAAATTTGTTTATTAGTATAACATCTGATTTCTTTGTTTTAATGGGGAGAAAAAATGCAAGAACTAAGTAGGTGGCGCTAGTGTGGAGTGAGCTGTCATCTGTCAATTATACTTCATTTTAGCGATTTAAAAATAATCAAAATGTATTCCTTTTATCATTTTCTATTATAAATAATGTATAAAGTGCGAAATAACAGTCATAAAGAATTACAAGAGAATGCAAATTGTCATACCGAGACTTTGTAGATAAGATTTAGTTCGATGATATCCCTTGAGACTGGAGTCAGGCTGCTTGGCCTGATCGCGCAGCAGCTGCAGCGCTTTAGTGTGCTGTCCCTTGGTGCGGTACAATATAATCAGCTCGCTGTGCTTGCCGTGCTGCAACAAGGTCTTCTCTGCCTCCTCCAGCCTGCAGTTGTTCAAGCGCAGGAGAGACGCTACGTACGCGTCGTTCGTCTAAAACATACAACTTTGTAGATACATTTATAAATTAAAAAAAATATAATAATTTGAGGATCAAACAAGTATCAATTATTACAAGAAAACATACTAAAATCGAACTTTTCGTTAGGCTCTTCGTATACAAGGGAACTTAAATCGTCAAAACCCAGCGATTTTGGTCGCTAAGCGACTTACGGAATGCGCTGTCATAGAGATTCGTACACAGCGCGCGTTGCAGACATTTTTTATGTCATTGCAAGAGACAGTCACTCGCAACTTCTCTGATAAGTTCGTCTTGAGTCAAAGCAAATCTATGCAGTTGAAATGTAGTCGCTATGCCTGTACTGACGAAGTATACGGTTCGAGTCGACAACTCAACGTTGTGTAGCGCCATT